TATTTGGTTTGGGATCGTTAAAAACCAATAGTCAATGATTTATAATTCATGGCTTATGAAGCTACTAAATTTTTAATTATTGCCCAAATAGTAAGACACCCTCAAGTTGCTTGAAGGTAATGTTTTATAGCAGTACCCATGATTAATGCATGCTTCTGCGACCACTTTAGGCTAAGCCCAAGTTTTACTTTGCAAACATAAGAACATGGAACTTCTTATTAGTACAATTTGAGAAATCATCGTGAACTCTCTTGTTTTTTAATCCTGTTTCAATTTCAAGTTGGAATCACAGAGTATAATGGTGTGCTCCTCCCACCCTCTTGCATGCTTATCCATTTGTCCTATCATTCATTCATTCATTCATTCATTCACATATGTCCTCCTTTGACATATGGCCTGATATTTCCATTTTACCATAGCCTGCTCTTTCCCACAGTACGGGTACTGATAGTGACTCATTTTGCTGATCCTCTTGGAGTTATTAGTGCTCCTTATAGAAATACCAAGATGCCAGGCACAGTTGGCTCCTGCCTATAATCCTAGCTACTCAGGAGGCTGAGATCTGAAGGTGATAGTTCAAAAGCCAGCCTAGACAGGAAAGTCCATGAGATTCTTGTCTCCAACTAGCCAGAGAAAAGCTGTAGATGGGGCTGTGGCTCAAATGGCAGAGCACTAGCCTTGAGTGACAAAGCCTAGCAAGAGCATGAAGCCCCAAGTTCAAGTTCCAGTCAGTACCTGCACCAAGTAGTAAACATTCCATAATTCTGCTTGCTTGCTTATTTATTTATTTAGCCGGTCCTGGGGCTTGAACTCAGGGCCTGGGCACAGTCCCTTGGCTTCTTTTTTTGCTCAAGGCTAGCACTCTACCACTTGAGCCACAGTATCACTTCTGCCTTTTTCTATCTATGTGGAATCGAACCCAGGGCTTCATGCATGCTGGGCAAGTACTCTACCACTAAGCCACATTCCCAGCCCCATAATTCTTTACATTTTAGTTTCTCACTAGAATGCTGCTGCCAAGGCTTTCCCTTCTCCTCTCTTTTAGTCATGTCTGTTCCTCTCACTGGAGAAGGACCATGGCAATTTTAGATGCATGCTTGGGCCTGATTGAGGCCTGAGCCTGTTGGGTGAGTTAGGACAGACTGACAGCCTCAACACTAAAGCTGGAATGGCAGAATTGTGCTTGAACTATTCTAATACATGAGTCTTTGTCTTTGATTAACCTGCCTGACATTTTGCAACTTGTTCAGCAATTAATAACTCTTTTCAGTACTTAACGGCTAGTCTGGCATTGTCTGGAACAGTCTCCTTGGTTTTTAGGGTTTTGTTTCTTTTGTTTTGTGCTAGTATTAGGGCTTGAACTCAGGACCTGGGCACTAGTCCTTCATTTATATGTATTTTTGTCAGTTATGGGGCTTGAACTCAGGGTCTGGGCATTGTTCCTGAGCTCTTTTGGTCTAGGCTAATGCTCTACCACTTTGAGCCACCGTACTCCCTCAGGCTTTTCTGGTGGTTTATTAGCGATAAGAGTCTCACAGACTTCTGCATTGCCTGGCTTTGAACTGTGATCATCAGATCTCAGCCTTTTGAGTAGCTGGGATTACAGGCATGAGTTACCACACCCAACCTCCTTAGCTTTTTCATTCAAGGCTAACGCTGTACCAATTGTGCCATAGTTCTACTTTCAGCTTTTTGGTAGTTTCTTAGAGATAACAGTTTCATGATTGGAAGTGGAGCTGTGGCTCAAAGTGGTAGAGTGCTAGCTTTGAGCAAAAGAGTTCAGGCTATATTGAAACAACTTGGGAGGAGGGAGGGAAGAGTTGGAGGGGGGGGGAGGGAAAAACAAAGGAGTGGGCAACAATGCTCGATAAGAAATGTAGTCATTACCTTATTCATGTAACTGTAACCCCTCTGTACATTATCTTTACAATAAAAATAAAGTTAAAAAAAGAGGTCAGGGACAGTGCCCAGGCCTTGAGTTCAAGCCCCATAACTGACAAAACAAACAAACAAACAAGAGTTTCATGGTTTTTTTCTGCCCAGGCTGGCTTCAAACAAGGATCCTCAGATCTCAGCCTTCTGAGCAGCTAGGATTACAGGTATGAGCCACTGGTAGGTGCCTAGCATGTTTACTTGTTTTTGAGGCAGTTCCATTATGTAGGAAGGTTGATCTTGAACCCAGCACTCAGATGGAATGCTAGAATTACAGGTCTTCTGTGTCACTCTGTGTTTAACCCTCACATTAGATCTGTGAAGTAGGTACTAATAGTCCTGTTTCATGATGAGTAAAATTAAGGCAGAGAAAAGCTAAACAACTTACATAAAGTCAAAGCACTAGGAAGTATAGGGAACTGGGCTTCCCATCCAGGTCGCATGGCTTTAAAAGCTCAGTTTCCTTTAGTTTTTAAATAGTGGGGTTAAACTTGCATCTGTCCAAATGGAGGACACTTCATACTCAAAGAGTGCATTAGGCCATTTAATAAGTGGACCATTGAAGTAGGGACTAAGTTATTGTACCTACTAATGTTGAGGAAGAGAACATAAACAGAAGGGAACAATGTTAACTAACCCCAGAAGGCTGGGCACTGTGTGTTTAGGCTGTTGGCCGAGGCAGAACACACATAAATAACCGGAGTTGGAGTGGCCTGAGAGTCCTGCAAACACAATGCAAAAGGTTTTATCCTTCAAATTTTGAACTTGGAGGACTTGGATCTGAAGTGGACAAGAATATTTCACTGTTACAACTCCTAGCCCTTAGCACTTACTGATGTGTATTACACTTAAGAGTATTCTGACAAGGGAAAACTATGGCTGAGTGCTGGTGGCTTATGCCTGTAATCCTAGCTATTCTGGAGGCTGAGATCTGAAAACTGTGTTCAAAGTCAGCAAGGACAGGAAAGTCTATGGTAGTTATTTATTTATGGCCTTTACTACTCAGGCTGGCTTTGAACCATGATCCTCAGATCTCAGACTCCTAAGTAGCTAGAATGACAAGTATGATCCACAAGTTCCTGGCAAGATTTTTTTTTTTAATTTTACTTTATGCCCATCCTCGGGCTTGAACTGGCTTTTGCTGGCCAATTAAAGATGAGTCCCACTGACTTTTCCTGCTAGGTTCAAAGGGTAATCCTCAGATCTCAGCCTCCTGAGTCGATAGGATTACAGGCAGGAGCCACTGACACAATCTTTAGTCTAATCTCCAATTAATCACTAAAAATTGAGAAGTGGAGCTGTGGCTCAATTTGTAGAGCCTCAGCATTGAGTGAAAAAGCTAAATGAAAGCCTGAGGTCAGATGCCAGGAACAGCACGGGCACACATGCACACTCATATACACACACAAAGCAACCACATATTGGGCACTTGATAAGTGTATTAGATGAATAAATGAATCTTTACAAAGACACATTCTTGACACTGAAGGGGATTGGAGTTTACTCTTTTATTTTGGTCAGTCATGGGGCTTGAACTCTGGGCCTGGGCACTGTCCCTCAGCTCTTCAGCTCAAGGCTAGTGCTCTACCACTTGAGCCACAGAGCCACTTCTTGCATTTTCTGCTTGTGTGGTGCTGAGGAATCGAACCCAGGGCCTTATGCATGCTAGGCAAGCACTCTACCACTGAGCCACCTTCCCAGCCCCTGGAGTTTATACTCTTATCTTGTTGTACCACAAGCCTCTTAAAGTTTTTCTAGCAAAATTTCTCATGATGGAGGAAGATAAGTGAATGTTTTCAACTGTTCTCTTATGAAAACTCTTTAAGCTATAGTCATTTAGAGGCACAAAGTAGAACTTTTAAAAATTGAGTATATGGGCTAGGCACAGTGACTCACTTCTGTAATCTTATACTCTAGGCAAAGAATGGGAGAATGACATTTCAAACTCTGCTTGGACAATACATATATATCACAAGAACCCAGATTGTGACTGTCATCCCTGCTATGAGGGAAGAATAAATAGAAGGATCATGGTCCAGGCTAGCCTAGGAAAGAATTCAAGAACACAATTCTCAGATCTCAGTCTCTTGAGTGCTCCAAACCTTTTTGTCTTTCTTTCTTTCTTTTTTTTTTTTTGTAGTTTGTGGGGTTTGAGCTCTGGCCTGGGCACTCTCCCTGAGCTTCCTTTGCTCAAGGCTAGCACTCTACCACTAAAGCCACAGTGCTACTTCCAGCTTTTCTCCTGTTTGTAGTACTGAGGAGTCGAACCCAGGGTTTCATGCATGCTTGGCAAGCACTCTACCACTACCACATTCCCTGCCCTGCCCCTTAGCTTTTTCTATCAAGGATGGTGCTCTACCGCTTGCACCACAGCTCCACTATCTGACTTTTTTTGTCGGCCATGGGGCTTGAACTCTGGGCCTGGGTGCTGTCCTCAGCTCTTCAGCTTAAAGCCAGCACTCTACCACTTGAGCCACAGAGCTATTTCTGGTGATTTATTGGAGATAAGAGTCTCACGGACTTTCCTGCTGGGGCTGGCTTCAAGCCATGATCTTCAGATTTCAGCCTCCTGAGTAGCTAGGATTTACAGGCACGAGCCACCAGCACCCCGACTTACATTATGTGCTTCGTAAGCATTTCAACGACAGGGACACAAGAGCTAGAACAGAACTCCTCCACGTGAATCAGACATTTTTGCGTGTGATTACTTCATCTCAGGCCTCTCGATTCAACCAGGGGCCTAACCATTCTGTGCACTGTGTTTTTACCTCCAGCGCCTACGGCGGGAAGGTTAGAGTTGACCCCTCCTCCCTGGGTGGAGCCTTCAGGAAGGCAGAGGTCCAATTCTAGGCCCGGGATTGCAGCCCTTGCTGGGGAGGGTCTGTCCCCCAACTCCCCGCGGTCTTTCCCATTCTCTTAGGCCAGGCTCGGTGGAGATCTGCAAGGCGGGCTCCCAGGTGCAATCCCTTCGGGCTAGCTCTGCTGTCTACCACCCAGGGCCCTCCTTTCACCCTTCCGGCCCGCCCACGGGTGAGCTCCTCCCAGCGATCTCTCTCTCTGTGTCCTAGCGTTTAGTGACCCACCGGGAGCAAAGCCAGGAGCTAAAGCCGCGCGGCCATTGGCGCCTCACCGGGGCATCATGGTCCAATTGCTGGCATCGGAAGTTCAGCAGCTTCTTCACAACAAGTTTGTGCTCATCCTGGGGGACTCGGTGCAGAGGGCCGTGTACAAGGACCTGGTGCTGCTGTTGCAGAAGGATTGCCTGCTGTCTCCCAGCCAGCTCAAGGCCAGGGGTGAGCTGAGCTTCGAACAGGATGAGCTCGTGGCCGGAGGCCAGTGGGGCCGCATGCACAACGGGACCCACTACCGCGAGGTCCGCCAGTTCTGCTCCGATCACCACCTGGTGCGTTTCTATTTCCTCACGCGCGTGTATTCCGAGTATCTGGAGGACATCCTGCAGGAGCTGCAAGGCGGCGAGCACGCGCCCGACGTGGTCATCATGAACTCTTGCCTCTGGGACATCTCCAGGTACGGGCCCCACTTCTGGCGCAGCTACCAGCAGAACCTGGAGAGCCTGTTCAGTCGCCTGGATCAGGTGTTGCCCAAGTCGTGCCTTCTCGTGTGGAATACAGCCATGCCTGTGGGTAAGAAAATCAAGGCGGGCTTCCTGCCCCGGAAGGGCCCTCCGGCTCCCAAAACTCAGGACGTGTTGGCGGCCAACTTCTACAGCTCCCAGGCGGCCCGCAAACACCATTTCGACGTGCTAGACTTATTCTTCCACTTCTGCCGCTTCAAAAAGTACCTGCAGGGTGACGGGGTGCACTGGAACGAGCACGCGCACCGCCACGTCTCCCATCTGCTGCTGGCCCACGTGGCCGACGCCTGGGGCGTGGATCTGCCCGACCGCGGCCCCAAAGGCTGCGCCATCCACTACAGCCCGGCGCTCAGCCAATCACCGTCCCCGCCCCGGGAGAACCTGGATCCGCCCACCTTCTCGCCCTGCGGGCCTCGCCCTCCTCCTCCTCTTCCTCCTCCTCCTCCCAGACCTCGGGCCTTGCTGCCGTCCCCGCCCGCCTGCCCCCGCCCACCGCTGCTCCCCCTCCCACCCCCCCCACCTCACTCCCCCCATCTGCCCCCGGTCAGGCCTCCCTTTGCGCCCTATCCCCACGATTCCTACTTCTCCTCCGACCACATTTTCCAGTCCGATCAGTTTTATTTCCATTCGGATGCCCCTTCATCCCCTCCAATGGAGTTTGCCTTTGACAATGACTATGCCTTTGGTGCCCAGCCTCCCATGCCCCGACTCCCCCGACACTGTTTTCGACAGTCGAACCCCATGGTGTACAGAGGGTTCCCCAGGTATGTGGCTCAGGGACCCTACAGGCCCTGGAGAGGGAAGCCCAGGAGACCACGGAGGCGGCCGGCCTACTCAGAATCCAGGCGACAGTAGACAGACTGACTGACAGCAGCCACTTGGCTCCTGATGGCTGCGGGGGACTGACCACTGACTTTGCCACCTTAAGCCTTCATCTTTCACACGTGGACTTGGGTTTTTTGGTTTTGGGTGGTGGTGGTTGTTTGGGGTTGGTTTGTATTCTCCCATCGTGAGCAAGTCAGACCTTATTGATGTCAAGTGTCTCTTGGAAGTGAGCAGGTCTCATTCCTGCCTCCTCACTCCCTATTCTTTTTGCAAAAAAAAAAAAAAATAAAACAGCATTATAGAATTTGGTTTGCACAAGTCATTGTGGGATTTGTGTGTCCATGTGTAAGGCGTGACCTCTAGGCGTTATACCATTAGCTTTGTGCAAGGGCATTATCAACTGAATAAATAATCATGGCGCCTACAGAGTCGTCTGTTTAAATTTTCTGGCTGGGCCTAGTGGTGCACACCATTAATGCCAACATGTGGGAGGCTGAAAGAGGAGGATAGGGAGTTTGTCCTTTCTGGGCTACATGTATTAAAAAAAAAAAAGACTTTAAATGAGGCTCTTTGTCATACAGGACTAATAAAATGTCCGTACTTAGCTAAAACAAGATAAAGGATATGACTTGAATCATAGGATTTACTTACTTACTTGTTTGTTTGTTTTGATACCCAATGCTGGGACTTGAATTCAGGGCCTGTCACTTAGCTTTTTCTGTTCAAGGCTGGTGTTCAGTTGAATCATACCTCCACTTGAAGCTTTTTTTTTTTGGCCAGTCCAGGGACTTAAACTCAGGGCCCTGGGGACCTCTTTATAATCAAAGCTAGTGCTGTATTATTTGAGCCACAGTACCACCTCTGGCTTTTTCTGAGTAGTTTCTGAGGAGTGAGACACCAGCACCCAGCTTACTTGCAGCTTATTTTGGTGTTTACTTGGAGAAAAGAGTTCCACAGAATTTCCTGCTGAAGCTGGCTTTAAACTTGAATCTCACAGCCATGCTCTGGTGGTTCATGCCTGTCATCCTAGCTATTCAGGAGGCTGAGATCTGAAGATCATGGTTCAAAAGCCAGCCCAGGCAGAGAAGTCTATGAGACTCTTATCTCCAATAATCACTAGAAAACTGGAAGTGGCGCTGTGGCTCAAATAATAGAACACTAGCCTTGAGCTGAAGATCTGAGGGGCAGCATCCAAGCCCAGAGTTCAAGCGCTATGACCCACAAAAAACAAACAAACAAACAAAAAAAAACTTGGATCCTCACATCTGAGCCTCCAGAGTACTTAAGATTAAAGGTGGAGGGCTGGGAAGGTAGCTCAGTGGTAGAGCGCTTGCCTTGCATGCTTGAGGCCCTGGGTTCGATTCCCTGGGTTCGATTCCTCAGCACCACATAAGCAAAAAGAAAAAAGCCGGAAGTGGCGCTGTGGCTCAAGTGGTAGAGCACTAGTCTTGAGTTGAAATGCTGAGGGACAGCACCCAGGCCCAGAGTTCAGGCCCCACAACCGGACCCAAAAAAAAAAAAAAAGATTAAAGGTGGAGCCAAGAGCACCTGGCTTACTGAGTAAAGATTTGACTTGTATGTAAGTTCCCAATAAACCATCCCTGAGTTCAACAAGGTTAAGGGAAATAGTATGCTACAAAAATGAAGTTCCTGCAATCAGCAGAAATAGATGAGATAGCTTTTGAAGAAAGACACAGGAGCATTTGAAATAAACTAGGATTCCTAGAGAAGAAGGCCTTCTTTTGTCTTATTTACCTGGGTGTCTGTGATGCTAGCATTGCTAAGAACCTGCTGTCCAGTATTGCCCCCTTGAGTCTCCTATAAGGCCCTCATTGGTGGCCTGTAATCCTAGCAACTCAGGAGGCTGAGATCTGAGGATCATCATTTGAAGCCAGCCCCAAAAGGAAAGTCTGTGAGACTCTTATCTCTAAATAACCACCAAAAAGCTGGAAGTAGAGCTGTGGCTCAAATGGTATCATGCCAGCCTTGAGTAGAGAAGCCAATGGACAATGCCAGAGTTCAAGTCCCAGTCCTAGTACAATCAATCGATAGATAGATAGATAGATAGATAGATAGATAGATAGATAGATGTAAGCACACACATTTGTGTATTTGTATTTTTTTGTCAACCATGGGATTTGAACTCGGGGCCTGGGCACTGCTGTCTCTGAGCTTTTTTACTCAAGGCTGGTGCTCTACCACTTTGAGCCACATTGCCACTGCCAATTTTCTAGTGGTTAATTGGAAATAAGAGTCTCACAGACTTTCCTGAGTGAGCTGGCTCTGAACCATGATCCTCAGATCTCAACTTCTTGAGTAGCTAGGATTACAGGTATGAGCCACCAGCACCTGGCTTATTGGTATTTTTAATTGAGTAGACAATATATAGACAATAAGTATTTATACTTGTGTTAATTAAGTAGACAATTGGATAATGTATTATTTTGTTATTCATTATATTATTTAATATATGTTGATATTAATATATTAGCTATATTATATATTACTATATCATATTAATATATGTGGATTAAATACAGTTATATATGATAAATATGTTATGCATATGGGTTTTTTGTTGTTGTTTTTTTTTTGGTCCGGTCGTGGGGCCTGAACTCTGGGCCTAGGCGCTGTTCCTCAGCTCTTCAGCTTAAGGCTAGCACTCTACCACTTGAGCCACAGGGCCACTTTTAGCTTTTTTCTTTTTGCTTATGTGGTGCTGATGAATCGAACCCAGGGCCTCATGCATGCAAGGCAAGCGGTCTACCACTGAGCCACCTTCCCAGCCCCATGTTATGCATATGTCAAATATATGTAATCTATATTATCTACTCAAGAGTTCAATTGTACTAAAAATGAGCAGCATTTGATTCCTTTTGTTAGGCAAGGTCTAAAGAAACCTTAACAATTTTACCCAAATCATCCTGGGTGGCTGCCCCTCCCTGGCCTCATCTCTGGGGCTTACAGCCCAGAGCACATTCAGGGATTGTTGTGTGTTTAATTTTATGCATATCCTGGCCTTTATCTTCCAGCCTAGGACTTTCTTCATTGCTCATTTTGCTATTGTCGCCTTGCTCTTCAAACCAGGAAATTTACCATTGCAATCAAGCTATTTATTGTCTGGTTTCAAAAAAAAAAAACTGCCAGAATCACTCCGCATTTATGAGAAAAATTATTTCTCTCTTGTTATGACTTAGAATGCAGGGTTCATTTGGTCTGTTCTCCATCCTCAAGGAAGTTAACCTTTTCATACTTCACTGTTGTCTAAAGTTTTCTGGAAAATGCTGAGGTGCTTGACATCCAAGCAGTGTGTGTCTCACAATATTCTATATGTGTTACACTGAGGATTTAAACTTGAAAAGCTGTTAGGTATATTTTTTTATCCATGAGCATAAAGAAAGCAAGGCTCAACATTTGAAAACAAATGGAATCTGACATCTGCTGTAGAAGCATCATCTACCCCCTCTAAGAGTCAACTCCAAACTCCCAGTCAGGAGGCCACTCAAGGCTCATGTTATACAAATGGTAGCTCTATCTTGTACATTCATGAATTCTGCATAAATAAGATGCTTCAAAACCAGATCATGAACACTATCTGAGCCTGGTATGCTAGCACATATCTGTATTTCCAGTTACTGTAGAAGCTGAGACAGAAGAATCACTTGAACCATGCATTTGAGATCAGCCTGGGCAATACAATGAGACCATATTTGAAAAAAATTTTTTTGCTATGTAACTTGAGGGTAGAGACAGGAAGATGAAAATGGGGGAGAATGAAGGAAGGAATGGCTTTGACCAAGAAGCACTGTACTCATAATATGACTTATGGAATTGTAGCCCCTTTGTACAAATAATAACAATAGCTGACAAAATAATTGTCTAAAACAATTAAAAAAGGCCACTTGTAATCCTAGCTACTCAAGAGGCTGAGATCTGAGGATCAAGCTTTAAAGCCATGTTGAGCAGTCTACCAAAAAGCCAGACGTGGAGCTGTAGCTCAAGTGGTAGAGTGCTAGCTTTGAGTGAAAAAGCTAAAGACAGCACCCTGAGTCCAAGCCTCACTACTGGCACAAAAACAAACAAACAAAAAAAGATGTAGCCCTTCCCTAAATAATTCTAATCCGGTAGAAAATACAATATGGACAGACAGACAGAAGACAGCTAAAAGATGGACAGGGTTTACCTCTGCTTACATTCTTCTGGGGGAAATTACAAGCAAAGATCCAGAAGTAGAAAAGGATGCTTAGTATATTGCATTAACCCTTTTTTGGGGGGTGGAGTGGGGAGCTATTATTGTTATTAGCAACCAGTTACCACAGACTTGGTAACTCATAGGAGAAATAGATTCATTTTGGCCTGTGATTCTGGCACAAGAGCCTGGCACCTTATCTAGTCATGGCCTTTAGTGCTGGTTATGTCCTGAAACAGCACAGGGCATCACATGGCAGTTAGAGAGCATGTGCACTGTACCAGTCCTGGACTGGTACAGTCAAGGCCTGGGCACTGACCATGAGCTTTTTTTTTTTTGGTCAGTCATGGGGCCTGAACTCTGGGCCTAGGCGCTGTCCCTCAGTTCTTCAGCTAAGGCTAGTGCTCTATTATTTGAGCCACAGTGCCACTCCCAACCTTTTCTGCTTATGTGGTGCTGAGGAATCGAACCCAGAGCCTCATGCATGCAAGGCAAATCACTTTCCCAGCCCTGGACCCTGAGCTTTTATGCTCAAGGTTAGTGCTCTATCACTTGAACCATACTTCCATTACTGACTTTTACTTGGAAACAGGAATCTCTCCTATTTGTCTTCCCAGACTGGGTTTGTACCTGGATCCTCAGATCTAAGTTTCCTGATTAGCTAGGATTATAGGCATAAGGCTTGTGCACCAGTAAGCTCAAATATTTCTAGCTGATATGATAATTCAGTGGCATTCATTAGCATATATTAGTACAGGTAGAGATGCAACATTTCTATATGCATGTACAATGTTTCCCTATCACCTGTAACCCCACTCCCATCACTTTCCCATTCATCTCCCTTTTCTAAAGACAGATCCCAAACAGGTTTTCATGTTCTATTTTCAACATGCAAATAAACTACTAAGACCATATGCATCCGCTTTCACCCTCTTCTTGAGCCTTTCCCACTGATTGATTGTTGTGGTTGGCAGTTATAGATGACTTTGACAAATAAACAATGGAGAAATCAGTTAAATATTGATAGGTGCAGTTTGTCATGTTCGGCTTTTCAGAAACACTGAGCCATTCAGGACAGGGAACAAATCTTAAAACACAGATGTCTGTATTGGGAAGTACTGCCTGAAATAAATTCAACGTCTCATGGCTTCTTCAGCATGCCCGTGTGCCATTTTTTCTCTATTGGTCACAGATTTCTAGGGTTGGAAGT